ATAATGTATTTGAGGAACAAATTGAATGTATGATTTCAACACAGTTCCTTAAATGACTGAACGTAGGACACAGTGAATTGAAGTGTTAACTTATGAAAAATTACCTGAAGAGACCAAAAGATTCCATGTAGCATCCCTAAATTATCTGATTCCAGTAAATAGGTTAAGTAGTATCAGCTGCTGCTGAGTATCAATCGATTCAACTGGAAACTGTATAATGGTGACAGAATCTTTTCCATGAAAGATGTTTAATAACCTACTAATGACACTCGCTATTTTGTGCCATCACTTAAACTTTGAGACTAAAAAGAAAACACGCACGTGAGTGCACACATGGATTAATTTATGTATCCCCAGCCCACACATATTCACATTAATAAATTAAGGAAATTTAAGTGAAACTATAGGGCAATTCACAGAAATATGACAAAAGTTCTTAGAAGATACAACGCACATGAATTTTCAAGCTACTTATGTTTTGTGATGGTGTCAAAGGTTAAATAGTACCATTGAAATGTTTTTTTTCCCAACATCCTCTCCAACTGTGTGGTTTTCTTGAACCCATATAATTTTAAATAGATCACTTTTTAGAAAAGTTATAATCATATTGTAATTCAAACAAGGCAAGCAGATTCTCCTACCATCTATTAAAGAAGTCATGTAATTCATTCCTGTATTAAAAATGCTTTACATGTAGTTTATACATAAGAGTAGCTTTTAAAAGCACTGTTCTTGGAAAGAGATCTGTATACTGTTTCCAACTTGTGAAATTACAACACCTGTTAACCAGAATGATTTTTGTCACAAGTAACATATTGTAAACAAACCACAGACTAAAAGGATAATTTGGTTAACATTTCATTTTATATAAATGCATTGAAAATAAGAAATATTGACTTAAAAATTGGCCAAAAAATATGAATTGCCAAGGACACAAAGATACCTCTTAAGCCAAGATATTAATAAAAGATTAGCAACAAAATTTTCAAATAAGCAAAAATTTCCTATATAACTGTGCTACTTATGTAGTGTATGCAAACAAAACTTTAAGTTTGTGTTCGTGTTTATTTCAAATAACATTTTTTTACTCCATTAAAAAAAGGCAAAATAAAGATGAGTGGAAATTAAATGGAAAATAGCTTCTGCATAAAACACAAAAAAACTTACCAATAAACACTTAAAAATATATGATTTTGCAGACACCCCATGAAATTATGTGTAATGTTTAAATAAAAGTACAAAACTCCTTTCCCCTCCCTTTTTGATGAATTCAAACTATTTTGAAGAATTATCTTCTTATCATTACATATGAACCTCAAAGTATTTGTAGCCTTGAAGATTTGAAAGAAATATTATATATGAAAATTCAGCTTTATATTTTTGCCATACTATTGCTTACACCAAAATATAATAAAAAAGTATAGTGACTCACCTGAAAAATTGCTGAGTATCCAGGAACAGTCGTAATTCAAGTTACCTTAATTCCTCTTTCTAACTCTATGTAATCCAATTCCGTTGTCATGGGCAAAATATTTTATATTTGTGATATTGTACTACCAGAACAAATCATGAGACTCATGAAATTTACAAAAATATTCTAATGTGGTGTTATTTTCTGTGTACATGAACTCTTTGAATTGTCTGAAGTTTCATGTTTACAATCATATTAAAGATTTCCAAGATCTGAAACTGCGTTTTAAATTTCCTGTAGTTTGTTAGGCATTAAAAAAAGTAGACCTTTGTTCTGAGAAGCAGTGACATAAGGGTTAAGCACATTCACCCCCAAATAATAACAAGCATGGGTGAACAGCAATATTCCATAATAAAACTGTAGAGTAAAAATTTAATCTCAGAGTGTTGTTGGAAGAGGCTGAAGATAGAATTCCAGTGTTTCATATTTCTTCATTGCACATTAACGTCTTAAGTATTATCACCAGAACTTTTCCTTCATGGCACAAGGGGTTCATGGGATGTTTTCTCCTGGCACATTTATAATGGAGAAAGAAGGAGAAAAGTTTGGATACATTCATTTCTTCCCCTATTGAGGTGACCTTCTAAAGCTTTCCACAAAATATATCCTTCAGAAGTGTGAAAACAATCATTTTCTTCTCTTTTCCTTTCTTTAAATATATGAGAAAGACAATATACATGAGGAAAAACAAAAACAAAACTAGCGTATTTTATGAAAGATTTATATACAGTATTCATTCCTCTGACATAAGGGCAAGTGTAGAATTATAAACTTTTTAAAATCATAAACAAAACTAGATTTTCAGGATCATATGCTCATGACTTAAAATCCCAGAAATAAAACTGTGTCCATGGAAAAATAGAGATATTTTGAATACTAAAGTCCTTTATTCAACAACACAGAAATTTCACAAAAACAACTTTACTGGGCAAATTGAAAGTGTTTTTTTTTTTTTTTTAGTTTTTTTTTTTACAGTTTTGTACATGCCCCATAAGTAATTTTCTTTAATAAATACACTGTTTTCCAAAACTGCTTTTTTATAATTGCACAAGCATACATACACCTTACACAAATATCTATTAGAAAATTTAATAGATAACTGCACAGTTCAGAAGAGGAGAACACTGTGAAAGGAGTACATTTTGTGGCCCACGTTCCTGAAATATCTGACTTCCTTGGAGTTGTGAAAATGGAATCCCTCCTAACATAGTAGCTGTCTTTTCTTCACTAGGAATACAGATCTCAGTGTGAAGCTGCCAAGTTTAATAAAAAACAAATTGGAAACATTTAGCTGTTACATGAGAACCAACTGTTTGATATCGCTGTGAATCTAACCGTGATCAAAGACCCACTACAGCTTTTTGCTGAACATATTTGACCCTGAATAGTGTGTTCATTTAGCTGCTTTCCTTTCTTATTATTTGATTACAGATACTATCAGCTTAAAGAGTTTATATGCTTTAGTATTAATTGTCCAACTTACATGCCAGGTATTCTAAATCAAAGGAAGAGAATATTCCTTTCTTTCTTTTAGTGATTGCTTAATATTAATTCACAGGAAGCCCACCACTTTGGCTCCTTATAAATGTGTAAGAAGAAGGAAGTAGGGCATTGGGAATTTAGGAACCAAGAGATGTTTTTATATACTCTTACACTGGAGGGAGGCTACTACTGTTTTCTCTTCCAAGAATGGATATATTTCTGGTTTGTAAATGTGCCTTCACTTGTACACAGTTAGGCTGAATACATCAGAAAGCCACTTTGGTCTGAAGGTTGGAAAGAGAGGTTTGCATTATGATTTCCTTGCGATGTTAGAGTGCCAGCTAACAAGGAAATTGGTTCACTGCATTATGTACCAACACCTCAAATATTTTCCATGCTCTCCCCAAAAGCTGACAGAATATTGCATCTTCTCATCTATACCTAGAGAAGGCAAGACTCCTGTGTATGTAGACTTCTCTTACAAAGTTTTTTATTTGGTTTATCTGATACATAATTTTTAAGTTGTATAAATAGTCTACCATAATCTATATCCTGCATTTTCTTTGTACTGAATGAGACATACAGTGCAGAATTTTTAAAAGTTACAATTCATTGATATTTAAGAATTATGAAAAAGGTAAACCTCTGAATCACTCCCTCAGGGTTATAATGATATGTTTTATGAGTTCTCGGTTCATGAACTTATGGGGAAGAGAATTAGAGGGCTGCCTGAAGAGTAATACCTTTCTTCAACATCACCAACGAGAACTTTATATGCCCTCTATGTTATATAAATAGATTTTTTACTAAAAATCAAAAAAATGGGTGGTGTAATAGAATATCAAGAAAAACATATAAGAGAATTAAAGAAAAGCTGCATCTTTCCATTTCAATAATCAACAGATACTTTCATTAAAAAAATCGAATTGACATGTAAAACACCACATTTCACAATACACAGATTCATTAGTTCTTTAAGAAAACAAAAACACACCAAAGACATGCAATACTAGCATGTATTTTAGACTTTCAGTACATTGCTATGAGATCTGTTTATGTTATTGTATGCCTAAGCCAGCTTGAAGAGAAGTTTGTGTCAGCTCTGTAATAACCGTCATTTTCCAAAGAGCAAGGCAAGCTTACCATTCAAGTGTGAAAGTAAGTTTTCACTTACTTGTAATGAATTAGCAACTTGGTTTTTTAGAAAAGGTGAAATAAAATAAAGATGAAACAAGAAGAACTCATAGCTCTCATTGGTCCCACAGCAGAAACAGAAATTCTAACTAGAAAACGTCAAAGGAATATACATCAAGTAGAAAGCTATCTCAAAAATTAATATACAACATGTTTTAGTTTGTGATTATTTAATTCTCTTCTCTAAACATGGATAGATGCAATAGACAATGAATTTCCCTCAGAAAGGCTATCTGGCCACACCGTAGACCTTGCATGCAGACTCTAGGCAAGGTAAGTCCCAGTTGTTTTTCACCTCGGTGTCTGTAGGTACCTTGTCCACCCCTCTTGCTAGTACTGTAATGGGAAGGGCTCCTTCCGTGTTTTTTAAAAATATGTCATGTTATTTCCCAATCGAAACTAGAACTAGCCTTTTAAAATTATTCACCTGCTAGCTTTTCTAAAACTTCAGTCCTTTTCACCACCCTTTCTCTTCTCAAGTTCATGTTTCTTTGCCTGATCCATTTTGCTAATATTTTTCAGCAGGTTAATGGATGTCAAAGGCTAAAATATCTGGCCGGTGGATAAAGAACAAAGTTACAGTAACATGGCAACTTCCGTACTTTGTGTTTTTGCTAAACTGTTTTATTCCTGAAGCTGAAAAGAGGCTTTATAATCTGACAAAAGAAAGAAAGAGAAAG